TGAAGGAATTCCAGGTCCTGCGAAAGACGAATTGAGTCAATACTATCAAACAAAAGTCCCAGACTAGTTATGAAAACTGAACCTGTGATTATTGCATTATTCAACAGCCACAACTGAGATGTGTATGGTAGTGATGAGGTTAATTGCCCCGCATTAATTATCAATCAATAGAGGGTTCGTTCCCTGGAACACATTTTTGTTTAATCTATTTAAAAGGTAAATAATAAGCAAGACAAAATATTTTGCATAACATAATTTGTGTACACACGATGATCCAATAAATAATAACTGACTGGTATTAATTCCTATCATTTCCTTTAGAGCCTAGTTTTCATAGGCGATGCGATGTACAGAGTTGCGTCCCTTAATCGCGATAGGATCCACGTATCGTGGGTTCGAATCACAGATGTTCCTCATTATTATCAGTGGTTGGTTAGATACATGTACCCTCTCGTAGGTTTACTTTAAATGATACGACATTTTCTCTTTGGTCGCCCCTCCCTCAATTAACTGGTAGGTCAGACGTGTGAATCACACGAACAATCGAATAAGCCACCCGCTTAGAAGATAGTTGAACTAGGCGTATAGAAAAAAGGACAAAACACATTATTTTCATACATTTAGTGTACATTTTTATCAGTAATAGCTGCTGGCTAATTAAACATATTTTGATTGTTTTATTCCATGATCATTGCAAGTGCAAACCCGTTACTTAGCGTTTGATCAGGTGACTACTTGGCTTGCCTTTGCATGTGTTTTTGACGGGTGCTATCGGTGCGGCAAAAGGCGCCCAGTGCTCCACGCACACCTGATATCAACAATATTTGATAGTGGTTCAATAGCACATGCTTATGATATAACCGTAATCGTACAATGGACTCGTTTTGTCCTTTTATTTGCATTCAATTATATTTCAATATAGTTACATATCTGTTCCAAAGGTATGTCACTTATTTTATCAATATACATTTTTGTGTTTTCTAAAAAAATATATTAGCACAGTTTTGCACTAAATAACAAGCTCATTATTGAAACTTTATGGACCTAAATCTTCTGATAATCATACCAAAAATAATTACTGCTGTAAATAATACAGTATTATGTAATCAAGGACGCCGATATCTTTGCTTGGTATGAATAAACTATGCTGAGAACGGACTACGAAAGGAACTTCGGTGGGAATTCCTCCGTAAGTCTCGTGATGCACGTGGCACAAGTCCCGCGAGACCTCCAGCTCATTGGCTATTCCTTATTGCACGACCGGCTCACAGTTTGCACGTGCTTTTCAAGCATGCCAACAAGCTGCAGTCGCTTTGAGACACCTGTATGACGGCTAACGCGGGAACCTGGATAAGCACGTTAATTAAATCGATCGTTGTGTTTCCTCCTAATTCCGCTTTTTGTTTAATTTGATGTCTACTTTTTTGTGATGGTTAATCACGAAATCAGTGGAGATTCTCGTGAGAAAATTTCTTGAAAAGAAGAAAGCAGCGACAATATTTCAAGTCCTCGATATTCTTCAGATATTTCTTTTGCGAAAAATATATTCGAACATTGTCTTTTAAGTTACGCATCGTGATGAAAATTTGGAAAGAACTTTTTTTATTTGGTTTCGCGTGAAGGGTTTTACATTTAAACTTTGCACTTTTAACTCATTCATTTTTCAATGTCAGTCGTTTTCATTTTAAAAAGTTGAAGTACTATACATTTGCCAGTTTTAATGAAACATAATATAGTTCTTTTACATATTGTAACGGCAAAATGTTTCAAAATTATGATGTTAAAATAATATTAATTGAATTGTTTTCGGTAAAATAAAAACAAGACCCTAGGAATACATTGAAATACTTGTTTACACACAAAATCCCTTGTTAATGGAAACTATATTATACAATTTCATAGCTAGAATGACATACCTTTCCGTCTGACCCATGAAGATCCGGGGTAAAATAGGTCTTCAGCAACCCATGCTTGCAGTAAACGGTGACTATGCTTGTCGTAAAAGGCGACTAAAGGGATCGGGTGAGCAGGCTCGCTGACTAGGTTGATGCATGTCATCGATCTCAATTGCGTGGATCGATGCTCATGATATCAATCACTGGATTGTCTGGTCCAGACTCGATTATTTACAGACCGCCGTCATATAGCTGGAATGTTGCTGAGTGCGGCGTTAAACAAGAAACAAACAGGAAAGAATCCCCTTTCCGTCTATCGTGCCCTGAGTATGGCGCGTAGACATCATCTTCACGGGCATGAACTAATAGACACACACAATTAGTTGTAATAGAATCGAAACTGAAGGTTTATAACAGTTATATTTCGGAAAAGTCAACGCATCCCCATATTGCTATAGTTTAAATAGAAGCACATGTTCACAGGCATTCAAAGAATATTGATGCTTTTTTTATCCGCATCCGAACATCCCCATTAAACCAGATGTTCCCTTATATGTGTCCTGCAAGTGGTGTTCCTGTCAGGACAGCCTGCAGATCTGTCGGTACAATGGTCAACGGTGTAATTAAACTTACATTAGAGTCAGTTTACATTGACGGACAGTCATTGTCATTTTATCACGTGGCATCTGACATTCATTTAAGTACATTAACATAAGTATTTATTGATTAATATCATATTAATACACGTACTTGCGTTATCTACAATACATATTTTGCCGGTGAACCTTTTCCATTCATATATATTCTCTAAAACATGCTACTTCCATTTTTCATATCAATTTCATTTAGGAATAAATCTAATTTATATGTGTCCGTGCAATGGCACAGGACAACATTAATGTATTAATATTAAAAATATTAAAACATAAATCTTACATAATCTACATTTCTAAATAATCTGTTCGTGCGAATAATTCATTATAGGAGGACTTAGGTTCGGTTTACTCAACTAAATAGTTGCACGTTAAACACTGTTGGAAAGTATTTCGTGGTAGTAATAAATTATTCAGCAAAAGCGATGAGCTGTACCTGTTATTGTAGTGATACAAATATAACTGCATGTGTAAATATTGCACGTCTTTCGGAACGGGGACTTGAAAAAATCTTTCTGGGAACCATTCCAAGTTCATCCGATTTTTTATGCAATCAGGTTTAATCATTGTCGTATGTGTGGTCATTGGTGCCACCGCGGTCATTGGTACCACCTCGGTCACAGGGAAAAGAACAGGCAAAACGAAAATGGACCATATTTCCTTTGGACAAGCTCATGACATTGATTTATCTATATATCGTGAACCACAATGTGTTTGCATTGTCAGGGTCGTACACTGTTACTTTGTTTTCACTCTGTGAAAGATACTGGAACTACAAATGGCAATGAACACACCTGTGGGGTTGATAATATAATAGCATCACCATGTCCGGTACAGAGCCTCGTCATATGAGACTGAAATTGCCTAAATTCACCCCTACCATAATTATTATGAATATCTGTGACGATAAACTATCCCAAAACTTATTGTTTTAAATATCTGGGATGCAACATGTTATCAATTTGAATTAACCATATGATATCATTTTATAAGTTTCAATTACTGATCATTTCTCTTATTTAAACCTTGAAGCATCTTTGTTACCCCTCTGTTTGTGATTGACGTGATTCATCAGCGGATACCTGCCTGGCTGTGTTTATATAACCGATCGAATATCTGTTTAAAACTGGCAACATCAGAAATCAATATAAAACATGTGTTTACATCCGATAATCAGTCGGATGTATAGTCAAACGCAATCCTCTCGTTTGTGCCAAATCAGTCTCACAGTTAAAGAAATAGGGAGTTAAATTTTCAAATTTGATTAACTAACCGTCTGAGTTACAGACGGTGTCTTGGTTCGAATTGTATTCAGTCTTTTACAAGTGCCCAGCTGTTCCTTGGAGCTTCAATGAAAATCTTCCAACTGTGCACTATGAACTTGAGGGGGTTATGAGACTTAATTACTGTAATGTTTCCATACAAGGCGACATTAGGTCCAGTAGGCGTGGTGGTCATTTAGTGGACATCATGGTGACCAAATTGACCATCGTAAATGACCAAAAAGGGGGCGTGATGAAATGGGTTTTTTCTTTTCTTGAACACTCACCCGCCCTCATTTGCATCAATATCAATTGTCAATTTGTTGGCAGGGGTGGAATCGGGATAACATCCCAAGATGGTGGCGTGTTGAATGAAATGATCCTTGAAAGACGTTGATCCGTCGATTAGCAGGTCGATCCTTCCCCCAGAGTCTCTCCGCGTTATTATCAGGGGTGGGGGAAAACGAGGTGACAGCTAATACGGGGATCTGTCTCTCCCGGGGGTGGGGCGTAGGGGACAGGCACCCTGCGACGTCATGTGCTTTGTTTAGCTGGACGGACGGTCAAGGCTACTATTATCACCCCACGATATACCACGGACTAATTCACAGTCCGTGAAAGTCACATTCTAAACACAGAATTATCACCCAAGACCCAATGGGTCACTTAACGCCAAACAATGGTCTCAATAAGCGGATCGCCCCTTTTCTGTGTTTATTTAATTCAATCAAGGCACAATTATTCCCCCTGCTGCGTTCCATACAATGATACCATATCGGGTATCGCGTTTCTCCGCCGTTGCCAAACATCTACCCGTCCCTGACACATAACCCTCTAAAGATGATTTTCACAAATATAAAACCTGGAAAATCTCGCTTATAGTGTTAACTTCCCTGTTTGTGGTTGCACACAACCTACAGAGGTATCGGACAGTAAACTGATACCTGTCAAATTTCGTCTTACAGATTAGCAGAATTCATCCCAAGTCTCGAAACCTGTACTGTGATATCCTAAACAAGGGTATAAACACCAGAGTAACTTACAGCTTCCCAAACACGTTGACTTCGCGCTTGACCAATCACGTGCGTCGCCCCCATCACGTGACTTGAAACCACGCCTCCTGTAATTGAAAGCTGGTTTAAGTACATTGTATGGGATACGAACTTCACATTATCCTTCTGCATGGTCAAAATTATATGTGTCCTGAACAAAATCACCAGTTACATCTTGGGCTCACTTGTGCAAGCATCATCGGAAACTTCAAAGGAAGTCTTACCTGAGCGTTAATTGGATTGATCACCTGTCCATGATAGGCACATCGTCAAGAAGCATGTTCCCATCGCTGCATATCAGGTATGTACTGAATAACAATTATTATATTTTCAAAATATTTACTTTCAGTGTCTCTAAATTATAAAGGCATGCTTTACTTAGGTCGATTTTAAAATAATTCTTATTTTATTAAAAAGCAAATGTCATGCGCTAGCGTTTTTGTTTCGTTAACTCCTTGATACGTACCTGTGATTATAGATTCCACAAGTATATCACACCCTTAACCTCAGCATCCTCAAACATTTTCAAGCATGCGATATAAGAACGGAGTGCTTCAGTGTGGTTCATTTACCTCTGACGGCAACACACCGATCTCCATATGTAAAAACAGCAGGATGAATTTCTCAAGCGTGCCGAAAATGAAACATGAAATGTGTAAAGCCCCACAGAGCAGGGAAACTCAGACTTGTTTCTGATGGCTCTGATTCAAATATGAATATTTATACAGCAATATTAACAACAGGTATCTTCATGCCAAACAAGTCACTCAGACTTCTCTGGTCTGCTGCATTTGTCAAGATGGGTTCCATCCTTGTCTTCATATTTGGGCTTACGACCTTGAATATTGTTTCAGGAAAATTAATTGCCTTCATTAGTGTTGTTTCAAAACTTTATCATAGTAGGAATAAAATTGTAAATATACAATATGTTTTATTTCAAAGTTTAACAAACTGGCAAATCAGCTTTTAGCTTTCTAGCATAGAAAGAATATGCTTATTATCATACCTTATTTATTTGTTGCTTTATTATTATTTACGAGTACTTGATATTTTGAGGTATTAAACATCCACGTCATGTTTGAGATTGTACACATTGCTGTAGGCCGTCATATGAATATTTACAAAAAACATACCTCTTTTGTAAACAATACAATAAAACGTGTATTTCGACAGTGAGGTATTAATTAGATATAAATAAATATTACAATAAAACGCATGGAATTATATTTCAAACACAGAGAAAAAATCTCGGATAAAAATAAGCTTGGGCTTCATTTGAAAATCAAGTGAACGTGTATTAAATAGAAAACGTCACCGCAAGAGAATAAACAGTCTCGATAAACAACGTAGCAGATTCTATTGGGTGTAAAAGTAAAAGGGGTGTGGAAATTATATGAAAGGATCACTGAAAATCAGTGATGACGCCATTGATGAAAGTATTTATTCTTTATTAAAATATTTTATCAAATTAATTATATCATTTCAGTTTATTTTATTTAATATTTTCATTGATAGAAGTGGTATTCAGAGATATATGTTTTTATTATATATGTGGGAATATATGTAGAATATATATATGTGTGTGTGTGTGTGTGTGTGTGTGTGTGTGTGTGTGTGTGTGTGTGTGTGTGTGTGTGTGTACGTGTGTGTGTACGTGTATTATTAGTGTACAATTGTGTAGCAAAATGAGCACAGATATGTAAAGTGGGTACAATGCAGGATACAGAGGTGTCACAGCGAGAAGTACTTTTATGCAAGACTAAATCAGGGGTTATGCGAGAATACGCCAGACTGAAGGGTTGTATTTTATAACTTTGGCTGACTGATCCGAGTCTGGCGACTGATTGAAGAAGAGTATAAAGTTTATGGTATTATTCGTGTGCGTAAAGTAATGAGGCAATAACTGCTCCACATTTGAATATGAAAGTCGAGTACTTAGCTCACCCGAATATATCAGAGTACTTCAAACATAGCGCTCTAATTGATCTACTCTTTAGACCACTGAATGATACGGGTATGGTGAGTTAAAAGTTTACATTCGTTCCACTTTGTGAGAGATGTGCTTCTCTTTGTTTGGTTGACTGAATGAAACTACATCAGACATATACAATTAATTTGTTACATAGAAATATAGGATTAGGAATACAAATACCTGTCAAAATCTACTTATACCTTCTTATCTTAAATTTTCAAAAACAAAATGGTTTAATGTTCCAGACAAATGACTTGAAAAATAGTTGTCACACTTGTGCAAGTTTAATAAGTTCCGAATTGTACCATTAGCGCTGAGGAAACATCTAAAATTTACTGTAATTTATAGGTAAGTAAAATTGAATAATATCTCTTCAATGTGTATATGACTCATGCTGATGAAAAGGTATTGCGAACAATGCAGAGAGTATGCTATACATATTTTATTTTAAATTGCATAGATATACCGTCGGTCGTGTGCCGTTTCAATGTGGCATCTCATAACCATCACTATCGTTTTGAATTATCTCACAACTGCGCCTTGAAATGCATGTGTACTGTTATTAAAGGAAGTTCTGTCACTGCTTGTCCAGCGCAACAATGATTTAATGTGATCATTAGTAATTCTGATCATAATCAAACTTAATTAATCACCATCCAAAGTAAATGTAACAAATTAACATTAAGCTTTCTGCGTTAGGGCATTGCCTGTCGTAAATAAATCATGACTTTTTCTACGGAAACGTGTTAATTCCGAAACTGATTAATTTTTCCTCTGGGAGCACAATCCCCCGTAGGTTGTAAGTCGTCTTGGTGAGAAAATCCTGAAGTTTCGCGATTAGAATGACAAGAAGTTGAATAATTTAATATTACTGTTGTGCAGAGACCACTGGAGGAGGAATATGTGCAGGGGTTGAAGCGCGTGTCTGGGAAAATATGGTGGAATATATTTGTATCTTTATTAATTACGCTCTAGGGCTCTGATCCCTTTAAACATTCCCACGTTAACATTTGATTAGGAAGGAGCACCACGAGCATCTCTTCTTTCCCACGGTACATGTTCCTCGCAGTGTGTTGCACATTGCATGGACAATGCATGTATAGGAGTGAGGTAAGGGCTTCCTATGGAATCTGTTTCGGCTGGTAGTGGAGGCTGGTAGTGTTCTAAGTGTTGACGCAATGAATTTACATATGAAACAGTTACCTGTATATATGAAAACAATGCCATTGTGTATACACTATGACCTGTATATATGAAAATAATGTCATTGAATGTGAAGTATTACCTCTATGTGTGATAACAATGCCATTAAGTATACCTCCTACCAGTATATATGAAAACAATTATATTTAGCGAACAATTTTACCTATATACAGTATAACCGGAATATATAATGTACGTTTTCAACCATATCGTATGAAAACAGTGACACTTAGTATAGTGCCTTACCTGCAGATATGAAAACAGTGACATTTAGTATGGTGCCTTACCTGTAGATATGAAAACAGTGACATTTAGTATAGTGCCTTACCTGAAGATATGAAAAAGGGGACATATTGGTATATGACAGATATTCTTAAGTCTACATTTTTACCTGTTTATATGACAAAAACATTTAGTGAAGAACTTCACATTTTTCAGAATATAGCAATAACATTAAGTCTATAATCCTACCTGTATAAATGAAAACAATATAACTTTAACTTGCATACAATCTTACTTGTATACCTGGCGCAAAGCAAAATATGTAATAGTGAATATGAAGCTATTCATTAATAACACTTGGTATCAGTTCCCGGATTCCAATATTCTGAATCATCTGTTGAGAAATATAATGATGAATACACTTTGCAATGTACACTAGAGGTGTATTATAGCATGTATTTAACACGTCCAGCACAATACGTTATTGTACCAGGAATGTGTTCATTGACGCTCTTCATTTGCATTGTATCTCTTCTATTATTGTATTTTAACCGTTTTACACGGTGCTGTAATATGAGGCAATATACACTCATATTGCATGACAAGGCTAGGTGAGCTGATTTTCATAAAGTTCACATCGTTTTTAAAATGCATTCGTAAATGCGTTTTCACTTTATGGTTAGTGAAGACAGCGTTTGGAGTTCAAATTTTCAGCCTTTCTATGCGACGTCTTCGTTGTTCTACGTCGACTAAAATACCACTTGAAACAATTAAAATGTTTGGGGATGATGCTTACGAAGTTTTATAGATACATGTTTTGCAGGTTAGTGCAACATGCAAACATGTGTTAGATATTATTAAATAAAACGATCCGGTCTGTAGCTTGTTTATGATAAATATCTGCGTGTACTCTTGTAACTTATTTGACATGTCAAGAAAAAGTATCGTTATGAAAACACCGTTCAAAGTAAATTTAGATAAAACATTTCCTTCAAGAACGAATTCATTAAACAATGCTTGCTTTTTAAAACAAAAAAGCGCATAAAATGTTTAAAAAAATAAAGCTCTTTATCTGTTTTGCCTTATGTTCAAATGCCATATTTACATTGTCTATAAACCAAAAGCAATGTCTCAGTACAGAATAAAGCAAGAATTCGTCGGCCGTACACGAACACTAGAATAAAAGCTGGAGAGAACGGCCCTATTGTGCTCGCCACAAATTGAAACATTACAGATTTTTTATTTCATACATTCGTTATTACTGCGCAATTATCAAATCTGCGAACTCCCATTATCTGTTCAATCTCGGGTATAAAGAGGAATCATTTTGTGAAATTATGTACGCTACTTAGCGCAACACGTGAGCTATTTGTTCATGTTTTGGTTTTGAACAATGTTGGAGTATTTAACTGTCGCGATTTGTATTATTCACACGCTATCTCTCGCATAATCTGACATGGTTTAATCGCTTAATCGGAAGTTCAAAAATCTTATCTGGACAACGAGAAAGTATTTTATTCTGAACAAACGAACTATTGTTAGAAAGGCGTATGCCTGACATTTTTCCAAATGGGAGTCACGACATATTCTGTCCTTCACCGTTTTCGTATAAAAACTGTCAAAATTAGCGCGTTAGCGGGGTGAAAATAACCAAATTGAAATGACACTTGCACTGAATTAACAAAATACCAAACACCGCTCCCAAAATTAGAATAGAATTGGTTTTCCATGCGCGAGAACACCTTTACCAGGCAGCCAAAAGGCCAGCGTCAGGCTCGAATGCATCTTATTAATTCGAATTTGATTGGATAGTGCTCGGCCACGTGGCTTGTCTGTCCTTCAAAACGCCCCCTGGTGAGTTTTAGTGGAGAATATCAAGGCTTCAAGGAAGAGGGTCATTTAAT